AAAACTCTGCATTCGAATGAACAATAGGCAAACCAGCAGAGAATGTGTTATTTATACGCATAAGTATCTTTTGGTCATAGTAGTTTCTGTCGACATTCGAATAACACTTTGAACCTAAGTTTGAAACAATATATAAAATAGGTGTACTTAAAGTCAATGGAACAGACATTCCTTGTATGACACCTTTTCCTGTTATAGGAAACTGTTGGTAGTAAAAACCAGATATAAGTTTTGTATTATAGCTCATATTGTTTATAGTAAACTCAGTCGGACATCCAAACATAATGAAACCTGCTCTAGTTGCAGCACATGTTACACCAGTACTTAAAGTATTAAATAAGTCAACAAAACCTGTTAGTGGTATATCTGAGTAAGTATCTTCAAAGGAGTATTTTTTACCATTCACAACAATAAAATCTTCTGGTGTCAAAAGAGCAAAACAGGCTTTAGTCGTCATTGTGTTTAAGGTTAGTTTACAATATCGTCCTTGAGGACTTTGTAAGTTTGTTGTTATAGAATTATATGACTCAGGGTTTTTAGTCGTAATAGTATAAACCATTGTGTCTTCTGCCATTTACTTAGCAAATAAATTTTAATGAAATGTTGTGGTCGTCAAATATTTTTATAACGTCTGGGAAACTATATTTTAAGTTCAACGTTTCACCTCCTTTCATAACGTATATCTTGTCAATGACATTATATGAAACACCACAGCAACTAACGTCGGGTTCTATTTCTTTGATGTTTATATCGTCTGCCTCTGTCAAAAGTTTCAATAGTTCTTTCAAAACTTCATGAGGTGCAATGACATATGAGTTCACTTTTACAGGGTTGTGTTCGACCAAGTTTAACATTATACCTAAAGCTTGACAAATCTTCTCCTGATTTGAAGTTTGTCTTTCAGTTGTTGGTAGTCGTTTCGAATATCTGCAACAGAACTTAAGTCTCTGCTAACTTCAGGGTATGTTGGTTGTTCTTTTACAGGAACTATTGTTATACCATTTTCGTCTTCGTATGGTTCCCCACTTCAACATCTCTGTCTTTGACATTGACAATAACACTTTGACTGTTTGTTTGAGTTGGTGAATTTAACTTCACATCTGCCACCGCCATTAAACCTTTTGAAACACTTACGCTTCTATTTTTCGGAAATGACATTTTACTTAGAATAAAAAGATGGACGTATTCGAGTATCTCTTCGAATTGAAGCAGAACAAAGTTTACACACACAAACAATACAAATACATTGACAGAATAGTTCTTTATACAAACAATGGTAAATGTTATAGAATAGCAGTCTTTTGAAACCAAAATATTTTCATAAAGCAAAGAAAGTTGGTATAACTGAAATGGTGAAAGTTCTTGAAGCAGACAAAAATATAACTTCAAAAACTTACAGATATTTCTAAAGGAAAGTTTATAATACAATATTATGTCAAAACTGGCGTACTGTCAATATTTGACGGAGAGAAGTCAGTTCAAGAACAACTTACTGACCTGCTGCCAAAATCTGCTCGATGGAAGCTGTCGTTATGCCAATCTGAGGAGCCCCAGCAGGTTTCATCGAACGAATCTTCAAAAGAGCATCTTCCGTGAAAAGTGCTATTGGTTTTGTAAACTTCTTTGCTTTCAATTCATCTGGACCGTCTCTGTCACCAGTATATTGTATTTGAACTGTACCAACAGTTGAAATACCACCCATAAAGTCTTCTGAGTCAGCAAATGGAATGCCAAGCCAAAAGTTTGAACGGTCTCCATTTGTATATTGAGTTTTTTTGACTTCCTGTATGGGTCCATACTTTCACATATGGCATAATAGAACTTTGCATTTCAGGGTTAATGGTTGTTGTGAAGTTTTGTTAAAGTTCATAGCATCTAATGTCAAGTTGTATGACCTCATATCCTCAACTGTAGAATATTCTTCTCTTGGATAATATTTGCCATCTATGTTTATATGATATTTAATACCGGGGTTGTAGAAACAAGAATAGTCATTTATAGTTCGTCTGAACAGTACAAACATAGTATCTGCATGTTTCATTGCAGTTGTTAAAGCAATATCTGTTCTTGCACCTGGGTCAGCACTTTGGTTTCCAACTTCACCTGCAAAGTCTTTGACAGATATTTGGTGTATAGGGAACATAAGTGGAACTGCAATATATTTGGCAGCTAAAGCATTTGAAATATCTGGATCCAACATATAAACGGCAAGTCTGCTTTCTATTCTCTTGCATTCAAACTTTTCGCATGTGAACTTAACTGGTCCCAAGCAGTTCCAGCAGCATTGAAATAATAGTTTACTTCATTGTTGAAGTTTGAGAAACCAAAGTCTAAGTCAACTTTCTCTTTGCAAAGTCACAGAACTTGGCTCCACCAGTTCCAGCTACAGTAATAGTGAATGGGTCTTGTGTTGGTGCAATGACTAAGTTATTTTTGCTTGGAGTAAGTTCGATAGAAATTTTTCCTGCCCAGTTTGGCAAGTATCTTAAAAACCTGAAGATGAGGAAAGATGACAAAGGAACTCTAAGTTTCAGTTTTACTTTAGTGACAGCATTTCCATCTGAACCAGAAAGGTTAAATAAACTCCTGGAACGTTAGGGTCAAGTCTTCTTATTTCTCAATAGTTGCATATTGGTCTGTTTGTTCTCTAGCTTGTGGTTGTACTGAGTTTCTCAAAGCGAACCATTCATAGTTTGCCCATGTTACTGTTTGAACTAAGTCAGAGTTAGAATATATCTTATATCCCATGAAAACTTCTGGAGCATTGGTATCCGACATAGAAAATTCCATTGCAACCTTTCTTGTTCAGACAACTTGGCAGAAGGTTTTATTTCAATGTCTTGTTCCACGTATAAGAATGAGTTGTCAATAGAAATAATGTGAAACCTGTCGCATGCAATATCTACTGTTGTTGAAGAACCTTCACCAAACTCACCTACATTTCCATAAGAAACAGCAGTTGTATATTCGTAAGTTCCAGGAACTATTTTCTGACCTTCTAATGGCATTGTCGCATTCGTTATACCATTCGGAAACATTTCCGTTCATGGCATCCAAAACTGTTGGCGTTATATTCTGAGCGGCGTACATTTCATATGGGTAAAAATATAGAATAGTTGGATTTATGTGTCATAATAGAACCCACTCGTACCAAGCTTTACTTTCTTCCTGGCTGAGTTTTTAACTCTTCTTTTTCCTTCATTGCCACTACTTTCACTAGATGAAGTTACTTCTTCACTACTTTCACTTTGTTCTACTCTTCTCTTCTTCTTTGGTGTCGCTTTTGGTAACTTGCCCTCTGCTTCAAGTTGTTGCATCTTTGCCTCATGTTCACCTAGTATGTTGTAAATTCCCCATGTCCTTTTTGCCTTTGGGCTCTGGTCGCCCATCTCAGGTAACCTATATCCTAGAAAGATTTTGTCATAGTTTGTATTTGAGTCTTCGCGTATTGTTTGCATGACTCTTTCCTGAGTTTCCGGTTCAAGCTCTTCAAACAGAGCTTGGCCATATGGAATAAGCTCGTTTCCAAATATATGTTTTTGTAGCCATTCTGGTTTTCTTTCCATGTTACCAATAATATCTTTTGTGAATGGGAAAGCTTTTACCCAATGTTTCAGTCTTGCGTCATTTATTTCTGTAGTTGGTTTTATTTTGTCAAGGAACATGTTTTTCAATACTAACATTTCATTTGGTACTGTCCATTTGAGTTTTCTTAAATATTCATCCCTTCTCGGTTCATTGTCTGCAAAGTAAGTTTTTATGACATTTTGTAAACTTTCGTTTGCAAGGTCATGTACAATAGGTTCTCTTCCTTCTCTCTCCCTAACTTTCTTTCTAAACTCTTCACCAAATATACCATCTTTATGGTTCTGTGTAGTTCTTTGAGATAAATGTTCTAGAACGTCAGGTGTTATATTTCCATCAGCCATGTTCATTTCATACTGGTCCAAAATATCTGCATGTTTCATATCTTTCAATGGCATTAAAGCCGCGCTGAAAATACCAGCTATATCTGGTTCACCATTCACTTCCATTGCGTCTACAACTTCTTGGAATTGTGGTTGTAAGTTTATGAACCACCTATCCGGGTTAGCTTTATGACCCCATCTCATTGTAGTTCCATAGTCTGCAGAAACAAAAGTAGGTTTGTTTCCATATTGGTTAGGTTCTGAATGAACTTTAAACAATGTTTCATTTCTATATGTTTTTGGTGAAATTTAACCTTTTATTTTCACCGAGTTCAGCCAAAGATTGAACGTTATATGGTCGTAAGTAAAAAGGGTTATTGTATTTGCGTACATTTTCTTTCAGTACTTCCATTCTATGCTGAATATTTTCATCTGATGTTGGAGTCTTTTGTATGTCGGCAAACATTTTTCGATATTCTTCTACTATGTCAGCCGAATTTTTCTTAGACTCTTGGAAAGATTCCATATTCACCTCATACTCTTGTTGAGGGTCAAGATTTTTCGGCTGTTCCAAATCTTCATCTAGTTCTGTGAAGTTAGTTTCCAAAGGAGGGACTTGTTCGTTTCCTTCTGGCTCTTCTAGCTGTTGTTGCTGAACTATTTCTTCCATGTCTGGTTGTATCTGAACTTCTTCCTGTGGAGTTTCTTGTACCTCATCTGCTGGCATTTCATATATTCCGAGACCGTTTTTAACAAGTTCCCTATCTAAGTCATCCGGACTCATAAACCTTTCTTCTTTCGTTCCGTCTCTATTTTTTACGCGTTTCATGAAGAGAGTTGAAATATCATTTAGCTCTGACACCAAATATCTCGGAGTAAATTCATTCATGTCATTTGGATGATATGCTATTAAATCATATCCCTTAGCGAGCTTGTATTTTCCAGGTTTGAAATTATATCCCATTTGGTGCTGAGCCATAAAGCTAAATAGGTTCGGGTCAGTATTTCCTTCCTTGAACTTTCTAATAGCTTCTTTATATCTGTCACTAAAGTCAAGAGTATTTGGGTAACCATAATCTTCCTTTAGCATTTTTAAGAATTCTTGGTTTCCTTGTTCTCTACTTCTTTTATGTCCTTGCTCTGTTTGTGGTTGTTGTTGTGCAGGGTTTTGAACTGTTGGTTGCTGTGCTGGTTGTGGAGGTGGTTGTTGTGCTGGTTGTTGTTGTTGTGCTGGATTTTGAACTGTTGGTTGTTGTGTTGGTTGTTGTGCTGGATTTTGAACTGTTGGTTGTTGTGCTGGTTTTGGTGCATGCCTGTGTCTGTGTCCATGTGACGATGTAAATGTTTTAGGTAGTCCTGGTGCAGGTGCTTCTCTTGGAGGGTTTGGTGGTATATAGGTTCCACTAGCTAGTATATAAGTTCCACCAGCTGGTATATAAGTTCCACCAGCTGGCACATATGTTCCATCTGCAGCATAATGTCCTACCTGACTTTTCGTTTTTAAGAAAGCATTTACTAGGTCTGTTTTGGTCTGTTGTAACTCTTTTTCTTGACTTTCCACAACAGTTGCTCTAACGGCGTCATAGGCACTTTGAACTGCCTGTCTCGTTGCTGCATCTGTTATTTTCGTCATATTTTGTGCTACTTCTCTTAACTCTTTGTCGAAACCTTCAGACTTCAGTTTCTTTCCAGATGAGAAGTCGTTCACTAGTTTCACCTTACTATGAAGAGCTTCGAAGGCGTTCTTAAAGTCAGCATTCATTAAAGCTTCATTTGAACTGTCTTCATCCGCTTGTATTTTTGTCCTTATTGACCCTATAAGTTGGGCTGCTTTGGCGTTGGCTTGGGCATCTAACCAGTCATTATTAGCTTTTATATATTCTGCGCTTTTCATTGCCTTTTGCATGGCTGCGTCGTTATTTTTACTTTCTTGTGCTAAGTTTTCATACTGTACGGTTTGGTTTTGCAACTGTAAAAGTTTTTCTGCCTTTACATTTGCTTCAACTTCTTTTTTATACTCATCGCTATCCATATATGTCTTCAGGGCTTTTTGTTTTATTTCTTCATCTTTCAGTACTTTATATTGAGTAGTATGGTTTTTCAAATTTATAACATCTTGTTCCATTTTTGCTACTTCTGCTGCTTTTTCTGACACTTTTTTGCATATTCCTCTGTACTTAGTTCTTTCAGTTGTTCTTCTTTCTTCTTTTTCTCTACGTTTAACTCATTGAGTTTCTTTGTGTGTCTGTCATATTCTAGTTTCTTTTCGTTTTCACTTATTTGTTTCTGTATGTCTATGTTTGACTTTTTGACATCTGTTATTTGATTTTGAGTGAACTCAAATTCATTTGACTTTGAGGGTTATAAGCTGTTCCGTCTGCAGCTCCACCATAGCCTGCCATTTTCGCTAAAAGTGCCGCTCTTAAACCTCCACTCTGTGCACCAATAACTCGGTTTAAAAGCATAGGATTGCTTGACATTTGTTGCAACATAGTGGGGTCATTCATTATTTGTTGTTGCAACTGTTGTTGTGGTGTCAGTTTTACTATTGGATGTTTCAATGCTCTCTTCCTCTTACGTATATTCTTACGTAGCTTACGTGGCATTTTAAGTGAAGTTAAAAAGCGGTTTTTGACAGATGTTTATATGACACTTTTTGTTCAGCACAAAAAACTACTCGGTCAAAGTGTTGTCAGTTTTGTAAAATAACCGTCCTATCTCATTCTATAATGGGGAAAGTCTTCTCAAAGTATACTTCCTTGGAACGCCCGTAACTTTTCCTGTAGCGACGATAGACCCTTACTTGTCCGGACAAAGTTATACTATTTTGAGTGCTCTACAAAAAAAGTCAACGGCTGGCTCGTCCTCAGAAATTTTTTATGGGCTAGAGGGCGCAACGCGCCTGGAAGCCCATCCCAAGAAAAAAAAATCATTATACTAAACATCTTCAGGGCTAGAGGGCACGAAGTGCCTGGAGGCCCCACTACCTTTTTTTTTTTTTTTTTTTTTTTTTTCTTTAAATTCTAATATAATATAAATTCTTCATTTCCTTTGTTTAAACTTTTTTCATTTTAATACCATTTTATCAGATAGTAATTTTTGTTTTTCTCTGACCAAAAATCTTCTCAATTTAACTCCACCTTCACAAAAATTCATTGAGTTCTCTCAAAATTCTTGTATTTTTGGTATACTTAAAGTATCATCTTCAAATATTTTTTTGGAGAAAATTGACTTTGCATAATATCGTAATACTTTTTAAGGCAGATAGATTTACCGTAAGTTGAAGAACTTTTAATTTGAACAGAAATTATTCAACAAATATTCTTTTTATTTGATCAATAAATTGTAATATCATTATACTATATATTAATATGAATTTTTATAGAAAAGCTTTATTTTTTTCTCAATTTTTAATTTCATTTCAGTCTCTAAACTTTCTTACTATGTAAAAACGTATTATTATAGTAATAAAATAAAATACATGTTTATTCGATCTCGTATTTCAAAAAAATAAAATTACTTATATAAAAAGATTCTCTTTAGTCAACTTTCTTTTTGAATCTCTAATAAGTTTTTACTGTTGCTTCTATATATTAAGTATTGATTCTTGTAGTAAAGAAAATCCGGAACGTTTATTTATTAGAATACTCGAACTTTGACTTACATATTACTAATTGTAATTATTTTCAAGAGCCATTTCTATTACTCCTACTTGTTCGGCTTAAAATCTGCTATATTGTTAAGATAAACTAAGTCTAAATTTTGAACCATTTTTTGAAGTTTAAAGTGTAATACATATCGATTTTTTATCCGAATTTAAGAATTGCTTCAAAGTTTTAGCGTGAAATCGTGCATTTTTTCTAATGAAATTGTTATTATAAGATAAGCAATCTGAGTTTTTTTGAATAATATGTCACTACACATGATAGAGCGTTACGTGCTGAAAAGTTACGCTTCGTTCTGAAAGTGGTAATGAAGTTTTATTAGAATTCATCAAAAAAACGTATGAAAATAATCGTATGTCAAAATGTGAGCACTTCTCAAAATTTGCTCACATTTTGACTATTTTTGTGAGATCTTCCTCACAATTTTTTGACAAACGTACAAAAAAAGTGCCAAAATGTGAGCAAATGTGAGCAATTTTTATATCTCCTCCTAGCTATTCCACTGTAACGTATCATGTTAGGATGTATCACTTCATGAACAAAAAGGCGCCCATCATAAAAATTGACAAAAAATCGCCGGATCAAAGAAAAATCAAAGCAATTCTTCAAGCGCTAGATGAAGACCCAAGAGCATCACTCAGAAGGATAGAGGAGATGACAAAGATACCACGTACAACAGTTAGTTATTATCTGCACAATTATTTGAACTACAAACTAGCGTATACACGTTGGGTTCCGCACAACCTTAATTCAGTTCAAAAAAAATCTAGAGTCCAATCTTCGAAAGAGCTCCTCTCTATATTGGGTGCGTATCAATCCAAGAAGTTTCGCTTTTTAGTAACAGGGGACGAGTCTTGGTTTCAATATGCAACAGAAGCCAAAATCATGTGGATCCCGAAGGATGAAAATCCGCAAACATTCCCGAAGAAAAAAATTGACACACCAATGATGATGTTGTTGGTTTTTTGGGGCGTGAATGGCATCATCGCAATTGATATTCTTCAAAAACCTAATACGATGAATGCTCAGTATCTAATTGACAATGTTCTTACTCAAATTATCAATTCTGATGAGTTTGAGAAATCCAAACAACAAAAACAAAAGTTTGCAATTCATTTTGATAATTCAAGAGTTCACAAAAGTCATAAGGTAATGAATTACTTGGTGGAAAACAATGTCAAAGTTGTTCCAAACCCAATTTATTCACCTGATATTGCACCCTCTGACTTTTATTTATTCGGCACGCTAAAAAAGAGAGCTGAAGGACGCGAATTCGCGAGTCCAGATGATCTTGAAAATTTTGTAAGAGAGCAATTTGAGCAATTTTCTCATGATGATTTAAAGCGTGTCTTTCAAGCCTGGATCGATCGCTGCGAACGCGTGATTGAATCCAATGGTGATTATATTTAAATAAACTTTATATATATGTAACTTGTTTATTTCTATTCGCAGTATTCAGGTTTGTGCTAAACACACCTTTGGACACCCTATATTTTTGCGTTCCGTGATTTTTCATCTCTCATCAATGCACAAGATAATGAAGGGAAGACACCTCTTCATTATGCAATATGGATTGGACACACAGATATTGTAAAGCAGTTAATTTCTAAAGATCCAGATTGTAACATATGCGATAATGAGGGGAGGTTACCTCTACATTATGCAGTAAAGAGTTGTGATGTGAAAACGGCGTTAAAGATCATAAAAAAAACCAGAGATATACATCAAAGAGATAACTATGGGAAGTTTCCTCTTCAGTATGCCGTCGATTATCGTAAAATGTTCGAACCCCTATGTTATGATTATGGATCACGAACACAGTATTACAGACTAGAAGATGCTTTGGAATGTTACCCCGATGCAAAGAAATCCATACAAAGATTCATTTCAAATTGGAAAAGTGGTATGTGGAGTCCTGGGGATGACTAAATCTATTTAGAGCATTTTTCCCTTAGAAACTGACGTTTACCTCTTATATACTCAGTAATTAACAGTAAAAATCTTGTTTAAAATCATTTTTATTAGTTTTTGATGTTTTTTCAACAATATCAATATATTGAATTTCAAATAAGTTTCATATTACAACATTTGCATACCAAATGATTTTTTGTGTAGTCTATATTCATAATTTAGTCGAATTAGTAGCGTTTACAACTTATTTCGGCGTTTACAACTTATTTCGGCGTTTACAACTTAATTCGCAAACTCTATTAGATAATTTAACTTCGAAAGAAAAAATATTTTTGATGAAATCCAATTTATTCCCTAATGTATCAAGCTTTCGACACATATATTCTCATAACTAATTATATGTGTTTGGAACAATCTTCCTAATCAAGCGATGTGCCGCTTCTCATACTCAATTGGGTCAAATACAGTGCCAATCTATTGCATATCTAATATTTGCAATCATTTTGTTTAAATAGGTATAATATAATGAAAACATTTAAGAAAGTATGACGATGCATTAATGAATTCTATAAATTCTAATGATTTTTAAGTTCTTCAATTTCCAAACATATCACTACATAAGACAACAACAAGGATGATTGCAGTAATATATTGTTAGTATATTATGAAAATGTAAAATATATAATTTAAATAATTTGAAAGATGATGAAAAACATTTGAAAACAATATCACATCCTGATAAAGTTTATAAAGACCAGTAATGCATAGATGAACAGCTTATAATTCAATCACATTTATATGTTTTTCAATATTTTTTTCTGGCTATTTAAAAATTTTTGTCAAACAGACCTCTTCAAAGATTATTTTATCTCATGATAATTGTTTTTGTTTCATACGTAGAAACAAATTAATGATGAATGTCATAACATTTTTTTTGAAAATTATCCGAATTCAAGACATGGTTTTAATTTAAAAATCATAAATGTTATTATAAGAAGATTATATTTCCCGAATAAAATTTAAATTCTAACTCAATCTACAAACGGTCTCTGAATGAGTGGATATTCGCAAGGAAGCCAAACTAACGGAGACCTTCTCCAGATAGAAGAAATGAAGAAACAAATCGAGTGTCTTCAGGCTCGAATGGAAGAGCTTCAAGACAACTTAGATTCTACAAATTCTCGACTTCGACAAGCGATTGATTCCAAAACATCAGTCATTAAAATTCAAGAAGAGATCGCAAATATTCAATCCCAACTGCGTGAAACAACAGACAATCTTATAAAAACCCAAAACAATTTAAATTCAGCTATGACAAGATTATCCGTACGTTCGAATGAACCTGGCTATCAAAGCGATCAATTTGCAGTTTCTAACAGAAAATATTCGTCAGAAAATGTTATGATAAAAGAAAATAGTGGAAGGACACCTGGTAGACATAACATAAACCTGCCATTACCTATAGGACCTAGTGCACTAGTTAGCAGCGAGCAATATAATAATAACAATGGAGACTTTAATATGTTGTACAAAAATTATCACGCAAGTCCTAAAGGCAAGACAGGAAAAAATGAATTAACTAGGAGGAAATCTACCGATGAAATAAATCGAACAAAAGAAGACTTCAGAAAGCAATTTAAAAAGAAAGAAGACGATTTTAGCGATTTAACTCCGCCTTCATCCCATGTGAACCAGGAACCTGTTGACATTACAAAATTTATAATATCATACGACGATTTGAAATGCGATAAAATAATTGGTTCTGGAGGCTTCGCTGAAGTCTGGATAGGAAAATATATTCCAGAAAATCTTACAGTAGCTATAAAGAAAATCAGACCGCGCGATGATAAAGACAAAGTCGAACAATCATATATGTCCGAAGTAAATACACTTGCTTCTCTACGAAACCCATTCCTTCTTCAATTCGTAGGCTATACGAAAACAGAACCATACTGCGTTGTCACTAAATACATGCCAAACGGCTCATTATACTCTGCATTGAGGCCAGAAAACGAATCAGACAATTTAACCCAAACGCAAATAGCCATTATTGCATACGGAATCGCATTAGGCATGAATTACCTGCATGAAAAAGGAATAATTCATCGAGATTTAAAATCACAGAATGTTTTATTAGACGACAACTACTATCCTGTTATCTGCGACTTCGGTTCTTGCAGAAACAAGAATACAATTCGCACTTTTACCGGCCAAGGAGGAACTGCGAATTATATGGCTCCAGAATTCATGAAAGCAGAGAAATACGATGAGAAAATAGATGTTTATTCATACGGTATCCTTCTTTGGGAGCTTGTGACCAAACAATCCCCGTTTGAAGGTTTAATTCCTCCTCAAATCGTTTGTACGGTTTCTATGTTCAATAGAAGGCCAGATATACCACCAGACACGAATCCTCTGCTCAAGCACCTCATAGAGAATTGCTGGGATAGAGATCCGAAGGAAAGACCGCCATTTGCTGATATATTAAAATATCTTTGTACAAATAACGGTTGTTTCGATGGTGTAGATGTAGGAGTCTTTCAAACATTTATTTCCCAGCATAGAAGTCCGTTCCCTGTAATTTCTTACGCTTCTGCTCCGAAACCAAAACATCGGAGCTTCGTGGGATCATTATCTCCGGTTTCCGAGCCATCGCATGACATAAACTCCCAGATAGAAGCCAGGCAGTTGCTAAATAATAACTTTGCAACCTTGGCAGATGGAAATGCCAATCAGATTAGTACTGCTATCTCGTATATCTTAGGTAATGTTGATGATCCGGCGATATTTACTATTGCTGTATGGCAACGCGTGTTAGTTTTGCTTCTGCGTGCTCCTCCTTCGATATTACCAAGAGCAAAGGAATTAGCACTGACATTAGCGAAAAACCAAGAGATTTTGGCATTGATAGAGCAAGTTCATGACTTAAACTTGTTCGTAAAACCAGAAACTCTCGATGTTTTCTTGTATGTTTTTAATTTCTTCTCGAAAGTTATTACAACTGACATTGTAACAGCTCTTGTATCACTTTCTAAGAACAAACAAGTCAGTCTCCAAGCAATAACTTTACTTTGCAAGGCTCATTCGCTTTCTCCTTCTCATGCAGTCATCCAAGCTTGCGAACAGTTCTTCATAGGCAACATTCTCGATTTTGCAAATATTCCTGGCGGGCATTTGGTCGTCAGGACCGTTGTAAATATCCAAAGAGATGCAATTACTGATGAAGTATTCAAAGTTTACGTTCAATCAGAAATAATTGAGAACATAACCGCCGCCTATCAAATTTTGTTTGTAAGAAAATTATCACCTGGTTTATTAACACCAGCGCTCTTAAATCACCACATTGTGCTAAGCGGACGTGAAAGTTCCAAAGAAATCGATGAATTAATTGAGACAGCGTTGAATTTCACCAGGATGTTTGCAATGCAGGTAAGAGGAGAGATATTGGATGGTCTAATTATGAGCCTTTTGTCTTGCGTTATCGAAAGAAGAGTGGAACATGCTGCATTGTTGTTATGCGCATTCGCAATCGATCCAGAACGCAAACTGACATTCCTACAGCCAAAGTTCATCGATAGGATTTTATCCTGCGATGATGATAATGGCTCTTCTATGCTAATGAGGTTAGTTTTATTATTTTTCAAGGATGACAAGCTCAGAAACGCTTATTTCACTCATCCTAAGATCTTTTCTTACCTTCACTCTGTTGTTCTGGCCTCAAATACCGATAGTTTCCTTTCTGTTTGCTGGGTTATTGTATTTCTTCCTCCAAATCCAGCTTTTACTCAAAAACTTATTGATGTTGGCTGTCTGCAACACATTATTAATGCGATCTGCTCAACAAAACAAGAAGATTTCATAGCATTTGTAGTTCCAACGCTTATGAGGTTTATAAACGAGCATGATTCACCAGCATATGAAGATCTGACGAAACACATGCTCCAATTAATCTCAGACGGCCTTTGTTTGGATCCTTGCTTGAAAATCATCAAATGCCTCCTTAAATACGAATCTCAACAGAACCTCTGCCTCAAACTTAACATAGTGAGCGCTTTATCCAAAGTCAACGACCCACAGCAAAAGAAGAGCGTCAAAGAGATCTTTGAGATCTTGAAATCAGGCGTTCTTCAGATAGAATGATCTTTATATATGTTGTATTTATTTATAGATATGTATTTTTATTTATTAACTATGATTTTTATTGTATGTTTTAAATATGAGATTTTGTTTGTAAATTCAACCATATTTGCTCTTGCATATATTTATTATCAAAACCTAAAATATATATCTTAAGGGATTTTGATGGGTATCACATGATATAGAATATTTTATTAAAAAATGTTGGCAAAGTTAAACAAAACATAAGATACATCATATATAAAATGTTCTTGTATATGATTCATTATAAAATCAAACAGCTAAATCAATTTTTCGATGAAATTCATTTTGAAGAATAAACTATGAACCTAGAGCCCATAAGTTAAGCTCTTTATATGAATCTAATAATATATGTATATTCAGTTTAAGAAGCTTGGTATTTATTTTTCTGGTTGAAATAAAACAAAAAAAGATGAATGAAATTGAATATATAACCGAATATATATTTTTACGATATATCAAATTCAAAAAGGATGAAGAAAAATACTCTGAGAGAAAAATCTAAGCAAAAAAATAAAAAATAAAAACAACAGTTATAAAATTCAAGTTGTAGTAGGCTTGAGTATCAACTTGTAGTTTTCAGGAGTTCCTGGAGGAGCGTATTTGAGGGTAATTGGCTGGAAAACGTTCTCATCGTTTCTCAATGGGTTGGCAACGATGAGAATCATTCTTGCGACCTTCATATTCTTTGTTGCTATGGCGAGTTGGTACAGATTTATACCGACATCCTTTGCATCCGCGCCGTTTGCGAGCAAGAACTGAATAATCTCTACGTGTTGGAAGAATACTGCATAACAAAGCGGCGTCCAGCCTCTTGGATCCCTTACGTTCATTGATTGAACGCAATAAGTCAAAAGACAAACGGCATTCTTATCGCCGATCGAACATGCAGCATGTAGAGGTGTTATTCCTTGGTCGAGTTCATCGATTTTTCCAAAATGAGCGGCGTGGAAAAGAGCGTGAATATTATGATTCAAAATTGTGGTGAATGGGTCTGGAACAGGTTCAGATGAAGCCCATTCGAAGTTTACGTACTTGCGAGTGATGTATTGGTCTCTTACGGTGTCTTCTGATCTGGAATTGATTTTATCCTTTGGAGTCTTCGCGAGCAAGAGCCTGTTACAGTCTCCCTCCAATTCTGTCATCATGTCTACGACCATAGGAGAGAGTTTATCCAATGTAATAGATCTGATCTTCGAATTCGTCGTTGACATGTGACGATGGCTGCCGGAACATTTAAGGCAGAGGTCACAGGCCCAGTTAAGAGAGATCCATGTGGCATCAGAAGCTCCGCAATCGCAACATTTCTTAGATGCTTTGTTCTCTTCTTGTCCGAGTACTTTGAAGTTATGGTTTGTAAAGACCGTAAGCCATTCTTCCATATCCAGTTTAGAAAGAGCTTGTATTTCGATGAGTTCTTGAGGAGATTGGATCTTAAAAGCGAAACGACGGGTTTTATCGAGTGGTGTAACTGTAACAAGAGGGAGTAGCCATTGTTTGTCTTGGTCATCATCCGAAATCTTATGTGCAACAAGCAATGAATCTTCGAACGTCAAATACTTCCTTGTCCAAACAGATGAGCGAATCGGATGAGCCTCTTTGACCCAGACGGATCCGGCAGGCTTTGTAAGATCTTCAACCGTTGGAGAGTTTGCTGAGAAACGCATATCCCAATAAGTCGATGAAGCAGTTGTTGCTGGGTTGTTATCAGGATCGGATCCGATGCGCTGAAGGAGTAGGAGCTTAACGGCTGATTGCATTTCGAAGACGGAATTCTGAGTAAATAAGATTGTATTGCGATTTTCTGTGATATATTGGCTCATTAAGTTGGCTGTAAGCGTGATAAATTGAGCAATTGCTAAGGAAACTGCTCTTGAGCTGGTTTTCTCAGCTAACGTAACTTGATTATGTAAAGAATACAAATGTCCAGATCTGGAGATAGCTGCTTTAATAAAAGCAGTCTCAGCAGATGAAGCATCTTCTGCTTTGTTCTTCTTCTCAAAGACACCGAGATTTTCCGCACTTCTACCGTAATGATTTATTTGTTCTTGATAATCTGTGTTTAGTTTTTCGATGTTTGGAAGAACAACTGTTCTGATGATTTGCAATGAAAGATTTGATTGGGAAACGAACTGGCGACCCCAAATGTTGAACATTTGACTGAAGTTTTCGAGTAAGCTTGTGTATGGATCTTCAACATTAAGGATACTGAGACTTTTAACGAGTTGGGCTAATTCATTTTGAATTGCCGAGAAGTGCCGAGCTAAACTTGCCATTAAATCTGAAATTGCACCAAATGTTTTAGCAGAATCTAACTGGATTTTAGCTCTTTTAAGAATATCGGCTTCAAAAGCGGGATTTGGATCAATAAAAGGAAATACTTCATCTAAATCTATGCCTTTCATTGTATTCATTATTTATTAATTTTTTTTGACATTGACCTATTCAAATTTAAATAGATTGGAAATGCTGATAAAGGTACATTCACTAGGCGATAACAGTAAAATGGGATGAAATAGGATAAATAGCATCCCTATATAGTGCCTAACAATATTTATACGGGCCAAAAAAATTTGGCTAGAGATTTGGCGAGTCAGAAAACTTAGAAAATTGAGAGGGATTTTTATTTTTGAATTTTTTTTGGAAAGTTAAAATTGCGATTAAAAATCGATTTCCAGGAGAACTAAGCATCTCATCATATATTTAAATCGATAAAAATATTAAATAATAGTTGAATAGTATAACAACGTGAAATTATGGCTGAATCGACAGAAAAAATGAACATATTTGACATTTTTGAAAATTCATACGTTAGATGGTGACAGACTCATAAACTATACTTTAGCTAAGATTGATATATGGTTTCAACAACACATGGTTAAAATCGTAAAAATATTTTAGATTTCAAAAAGATATATATGGTAATATAATGGAACAGAGTCAACAAATAGCATGTTAAATATGTTATAATTAACTTTTTATTAGATCTAATAGTAGATATCGAATGGTTTCCAGCTTTATGGTTAATTATTTTCTTTTCGAGCTTCTCTTTAACTGTTGTATTAAGGTTGTAAATTTTTGATGCTAGAAACTATGGAATCTTCTTTGCTGCTGCATTTTTCTTGAGAGTTCTTGCAATTTCGAATAGATCTGCGCATTGTATGAAATGGAGGCTTTAAAATATCTTGAAAACAGAATAGGAATGCTTACTTGTAAATCAGAGAGTTTCAAAATTGAGAGCAAGATTATCATCATAACTTTCGATTTTGCTGCGAAAAAGGAAGACAAGTAATTAACAAATCATTTACTGTTGTTCATCAAAAGAAGAAAACTTTGATAACAACTAATGATGATAAAATCAAGCTATCTTTTAATATTTTAAATTGATAAGACATTCAAAATATTTGAATGGTTTAAAATATTTTCTTTTAATTTCTATAAGATATTATCATGATTATATAATAAAATTTAAATTTTTATTCAAAAAGGCAATATTTCAAACTTTTAATTTCAAAAATCTTAATTCTGCAATAAGTGTATTTAATTGTAGCAAATTTAATGATCCTTCGTCATGCTTAGCAATTTGGAACCCATAAATTAATGATTTCTTCAAGTAAAATTCTGCATTATTTCAAAAGTCAATAATTCTCTAGTAACTTTTCTTCAAACCCTAACCATTATATTATATGTATAATGGAGAATAATTGCAAAGAAAGATAGCCGAATTTACTGGGTAGTTCTTGTGATGCGAAATAATTGCAAATTAACACCTAGTTTTAACAGCATCAATCTCTTTTTGCTCTCATTTAAATGCATTCGCACACTTTAATTTTGAAATATAAGAGTTTTGGAAATTATCAAATTTATCTGCTCAAATACTATAGATCTTCATAAGTGTTAATAGAATCATTAGCCTTACATATAGTGTTTAATATAATGATGCACATTATACTGGGATTCATTCCTTATTCATCTAGTTATTATAAGATTTACAACCCCATGAAAATTTAAAATTTTGTCAAAAATAGTGAATATACCTTTGGAAAGAAGAAAATTCAAAAATCGAGATTTAGACTCTGCATCAAATGGAGAACAAAATGTTTCTTCATATCAAGGAAAAAAATTTTCTTGTGAAGAAATAGAGTTTTTAAAATTTTATTGTATGTAATGAAATAAACAAATATTAAAATTATTTTTTGATAACAAGAAAATTCCCAATAGAAAATATTTGAGAGAAAGAAAAAAAGAAAATTGAAAAATATTACTCTCCTTTATATTTCATGAAATTTTAAATTTATTCTCATAAAATTGACAATTTTATACGTTTAGATGAAAATAAGTGATTTTGGTTGAAATAGAAATTATTATTTGCTTACAGATATCAAATAGATTTTTGCTATTTTGATTAAAATTTGTTAATCAAATTAATAAATTTTTTCTAAATATCTTAAATATCTGGATCACTCACATATACAATGAATTGAACGATAAAAATAATACAAACTCAACTAAATTTCCTGTCTTTCAACTAAAAAAAATTATGCAAATTAAATTAAATTGTTTATTCAAATATAAAACAAAGATGAAGTAATTACAGTTATCATAAACTTTATGATTAACTCTGTAATTGGTTCAGATTTTGGTAAAAATATTTTTATTAATATCGATAAGAATACGTTTACCTACTATCACAACATATCGATAAACAAGAGTAGAGTGATTTTTATCATCGAAACTTTTTAAAAGCTGTAAGCTGGAAGGAAAAATCTTGTTTTTTCTGAGTTAGTTGTAGAACTATTGATATACGAGTTATCATTGTGATGTAGAAGGATGTCAATGTACTGACTGAAGGATATGAAGTGAATTGAATTTCATTGCATTTCAATTTGATCAAAATTTGTTGAAATGATATGAATGTGTCAACATCTGTATCACTCTCTTTCACTCCTTCCCTATTCTTTCGAGAACGAAGCTAGCTCAGCTTTCGCTGAGCGAATTGACACTTTTGATGCCCTAAACGTACAAGCTCTCAAATTTATCGAAAAAATTATACCACCCAAACTAGTATATTCTTATTTTAAATATGATATTATCCTTAGAAATCACACTAGAATATATTTAAATCAACTTTTAAAAAAGTTCGAGTCCTGCGCGTCACATTTTTTAAATTTTCGAAAAGGAAAATTATATTCTCCTAAAATGAAAACAATTTTCCGAATTGACATCCTTATTATCACATTATTTTAATCAGCATAAAGGCACATTCACTATTTTTGACAAAATTTTAAATTTTCATGGGGTTGTAAATCTTATAATAACTAGATGAATAAGGAATGAATCCCAGTATAATGTGCATCATTATATTAAACACTATATGTAAGGCTAATGATTCTATTAACACTTATGAAGATCTATAGTATTTGAGCAGATAAATTTGATAATTTCCAAAACTCTTATATTTCAAAATTAAAGTGTGCGAATGCATTTAAATGAGAGCAAAAAGAGATTGATGCTGTTAAAACTAGGTGTTAATTTGCAATTATTTCGCATCACAAGAACTACCCAGTAAATTCGGCTATTTTCTTTGCATTATTCTCCATTATACATATAATATAATGGTTAGGGTTTGAAGAAAAGTTACTAGAGAATTGACTTTTGAAATAATGCAGAATTTTACTTGAAGAAATCATTAATTTATGGGTTCCAAACTAAGCATGACGAAGGATCATTAAATTTGCTACAATTAAATACACTTATTGCAGAATTAAGATTTTTGAAATTAAAAGTTTGAAATATTGCCTTTTTGAATAAAAATTTAAATTTTATTATATAATCATGATAATATCTATATAGAAATTAAAAGAAAATATTTTAAACCATTCAAATATTTTGAATGTCTTATCAATTTAAAATATTAAAAGATAGCTTGATTTTATCATCATTAGTTGTTATCAAAGTTTTCTTCTTTTGATGAACAACAGTAAATGATTTGTTAATTACTTGTCTTCCTTTTTCGCAGCAAAATCGAAAGTTATGATGATAATCTTGCTCTCAATTTTGAAACTCTCTGACTTTACAAGTAAGCATTCCTATTCTGTTTTCAAGATATTTTAAAGCCTCCATTTCATACAATGCGCAGATCTATTCGAAATTGCAAGAACTCTCAAGAAAAATGCAGCAGCAAAGAAGATTCCATAGTTTCTAGCATCAAAAATTTACAACCTTAATACAACAGTTAAAGAGAAGCTCGAAAAGAAAATAATTAACCATAAAGCTGGAAACCATTCGATATCTACTATTAGATCTAATAAAAAGTTAATTATAACATATTTAACATGCTATTTGTTGACTCTGTTCCATTATATTACCATATATATCTTTTTGAAATCTAAAATATTTTTACGATTTTAACCATGTGTTGTTGAAACCATATATCAATCTTAGCTAAAGTATAGTTTATGAGTCTGTCACCATCTAACGTATGAATTTTCAAAATGTCAAATATGTTCATTTTTTCTGTCGATTCAGCCATAATTTCACGTTGTATACTATTCAACTATTATTTAATATTTTATCGATTTAAATATATGATGAGATGCTTAGTTCTCCTGGAAATCGATTTTTAATCGCAATTTTAACTTTCCAAAAAAAATTCAAAAATAAAAATCCCTCTCAATTTTCTAAGTTTTCTGACTCGCCAAATCTCTAGCCAAATTTTTTGGCCCGTATAAATATAGGCACTATATAGGGATGCTATTTATCCTATTTCATCCCATTTTACTGTTATCGCCTAGTGAATGTACCTTTTTCTTTCCAAATTTCTTTTTTCCAAATTAGAAGTTTAATTCAAATTTTCAATAGTTTATATATTTTCTCAAACCGTCTTAGATTTTCTTACTTTTTGGGGATTTTCTCTCAAAATATACAAAAATAGTAATATCAATACATGTGTCTAATATACTTTAAAACCATCGTGATAAAATTCAAAAACGAAGAGATCTTCTCTCCAAATTTTTTTCAAAATCAAAAAAATGAGATAAAAAAATACGTTTGGAAAATTCATTTTTAGCATTTTAGGAATTTTCTCACTTTTCTTCCAAATTGACATCCTTAGTGATAATCATACTCATATAAAAATACTATATAATTTTCAATAACAAGTTTTTTATTTCACTTCACCGAAACGAGTGAACAAAAAATTTATACGAATTTTATCTCAAAATAGCAAATTTTATAGTTTGTTACAACACATATCAATTATCAATTTATATGTATAGGAACAATCCAAGAAATTGAATATCATTTCATTTGAATAATTTTGAATATTCAATTATCAACTAAAATTGAATAGAGACCTCACTCACATATTTGAGGCCTACTCATAGTTGCTCAGATTTCTTCTTAAACTGACAAA